TTTGGTTGATAACAAAGAAATATAAAAAAAAACTGAAATTGGTCATCTTTATGTTACAATTTAATTTTTAGAATTAACTTACATTAAACTTAGCTATTAAATTGTATGAATTAATTGTTAAAGTTATTAAAAACATTTAATTTTTTTTCAATAAATAAATAAAAAGACAAATGTCAGAAGAATATGTGACACATGCATCTTCTCTTGACTTGAGTTTAGAAAAACTTTAAAATATTATATAAGATACGAACCTCATTTATTGTCAATTAATTTTGAGTTAGAAGAAATCCATAAAACTTAATACGATGCTAGGCCTAAGTAAAGAATCCATTAGGCTATTGATCAGAGACGTACCTTTTCTTCATTCCAAATCTGTCTAATTTTGCTGTAAGGCAGCTTTAGGTCGACTAGATTTTTGGGGTTGAAATTTTGTGGAAGTTCGTGCAATGGATATTTCAGCCAATGTAAACATCGAACCTCTTCTAGTGGGAAATCAAGCCTCTCTGGGATGTGTATCCTCTGGTTAGGCTCACATTCTTGAGGACAATGAGAACTGTAGAACTTTAGGTATCGAAGATCACGCATCTTCTTGAAGTGCTCCTTGCCTAAGGTCCTTTCCTTTTTGATTTGAGTCAAGTCAAGAAAAATACCTTTGACTTTGACGTTGACATTGAGTCCCTGTAACCATGCAATAACAATCACAAAGTCAACAAAGAGAAGAAGAAATGAAAAATTTGAAGTTTGAATCAACTAATGGAAGAAGTCTCACCGGTTTCTGCAGAACATTAGTTATGCCGCGTTGATGTCGCCCTTTTCCGTTAGCTTTCGAGCCAATCTCTGTAGCGAAAGTATACAGAAGATCATGCATCTCTACTCGGCTAGGGTCAGAAGTATTGATCAAGAACTTATCCGTGAGAGCTTTGATTATATTCGTCTCTTCAGAACCAGATGAATCCAGTAAGCTCTTTACATAAACCAGATCATGGGATCTGAAACAAGCTATGTCGAGAAACGCATCCTTCTGTTCTTGATTTAGTTCGTCATAACTTACTTGCAAGACAAGGTCTCGAATACTAGGGCTTAGACTTTTTGCAAGTGACTCCATTTTCTCTTTCCAGTATGCTAAAGTTTTCCCACGAAGCTCTTTACCCAGTAGCTCAAGAGTTAGTGGATGGCCTCTCACGTAATGCACAAACTCTTTCGACAACTTCAAGAAAGATTCCTTGTTGTCATTCTCAAAGGCATAATGATGAAAGTGCTTTAACCCGTCTTTGTAGTCTAACTGCGGAACCACATAAATATCATCAACGATATCGTGTAGCAATGACTTGTCGCTCGTTGCAATCACGATCTTGCTTCCTTTCAAAGCCCAGTCACGGTGACCCTCGAGTAGAACTTCAATCTGTTTCTTGCTATTGATCCCATCGAGAACAATAAAAACTTTTTGTTCAAGTAGTTCCTTCTTGTAAAATTCGTATCCCTCTTCTTCTATTTCATCATGATTTAGCAACTTCTTCAAGACCATCCCTGGCAAGTTGTGGTCAACCTTTACAATCTCACCTATATCTTGGAGTAAGCAATGACTACAGAACTTGTGTTGCTTCTCCTCGTAGAACTTCTCTACGAGAGTGGTCTTGCCAATGCCGTGCATCCCAACAACTCCGATAATACGAGTCTCGGCTCCCTTGACCTTGTAATTCAATTCCTCAAGCCGTTGTTTGAGCCCGAAAATCTCTGTTTCTGCATCTTCTAAGGGAGCTTCAGTGTTTTGCGAAGGATCCAAGGAACTCTTTGTGCTTTCGTCTGATGAAATGGTGCCTAACTGTTTTAAAACCCCTTCGACTATTTTTACAATGAACTGGTTCTCGCTGCTGCAACACAATGTCAGAATCACAAATTTCAATAACAAAATTATTCATCTAATCTTCATGCTTCATGACGGAAAATTTACTATCGATTTTGCTAGTACCTCACATAAATGAAATAGTTTAATGATCAAATGATTAAAGAAATTTCTGTAAAAAAAAATGATTGAATAAAAAAGAAATTCCTTAAAATATCACTAACTAGAGATTGTCCACGCGTTGCGTGGATTTAAAAATTAATATGATAGAATCTCCAATAGTTCTAGCTTATTGCTTATTTGTGTATTTAATATTACAAAAAATATTGTAGTACTAAATAATTATCTAGATTAAGATTAAACATCTCGAACAAATTGTTGGACACATACAATGTTATATGTGAAAAAAAAAATTGTTCATTAATAAAAATTACAGCGTATACATATGGAAGATATATTATTTTGCACAAATCCACAACTTTGTATTCTAATTTATCAATAGTCACTACGGTTTTCCTAAAAAAATGATTGGTTGTCTTTTTTCTTGCATCAAATACGTTTGTAAAAAAAAATCTATTGATCAGACAAATTGTAGTATGATTTGCTTCTATCGAGACATTTGCATGATCTCAACAGAGATGTTGGCATGCATCTTTGTATTTTATTTCATTAGAACCTAAAATAGTAAGGAAAAAATAATTGATATTTGATTATATTTTGTTTGTCTCACTTTTTTATCGTTTTTCTACGATTTTTATCTTTCACATCGATTTATTTGTGAATTATTATGTTTTTTGGATTCACAATTTGTGGAAGAATAAGATTTCATTTCGAGAGTATTGGTTAGGAGATGATTGACAATTTTAGCATCTAACAACCTTAAAATTCCTAAAATCACTAATTAGTTTTCTCACACTGTTTTTTTTTGTTAATATTACGATTTTTTTATTAAAGCTTTTTGTAATTTTTTATTTTAAAATCGTAATTACCTATCTAAATGTTTTTGTATAGTATTTTGTTGGGTTTAATAAATAAAATAAAGTTTATAATAACACATTTAATTTGAAATTATAACTTTTGGTGGATATCAAAGAGAGAGAAAAACTAAAATTTGTCATCCTTATGTTACACTTTAATTTTTGGAATTAACTTACATTAACTTACCTATTAAATTGTAAGAATTAATTGTTTAAGTTATTAAAAACACTTAACTTTTTTTGCAATATAT